ACGTATCACTTAAAAAATCCAACAATGATTAACAACTCTCTACAAGTATATTCTGAAGCAAAATACACTCAACATTTTCAGGTTATATTTGTAGTTAATTTATGACTTGTTATCTTACCTGCATTTCAGTTAATTGAATGAGATCATACAGCTCCACAACAAACAGATTGCAATCCCGTGGTTTAGAGAAAAAAAAAATCCTCAAAACTTATTCAAGAGCTAGGCTCATTTTTCATTTTAGATCGTAGAAAATTTGAATGGTGCATGCTACAACTGTCTATTTAAGTAACTTTTAAGATGCACACATAGAATAAAAATTATAGCCAAATAATAAAAGGGGACCTCTCTGTTTTTCACCGAATCCACATAACTTCCATTTATGCTAATGGGAGTTAAGCACCTGCTCTGCAAAGAAAATAGACCCCTATCTGTGAAAATAAATGTGTACAATATATTTTCCAGATACAATGCTGAAATCAAGCAACCAAAAATGTGTGCTATATAAACAAAGCATCATGTGGCCTACCTGAAAACATTGCTGTTTTATATTTTACCTCCTTAGTCATAGGCCCGGAGATATTACTCATGCCTTTGCCAATTAAATTTAACAAAAAGAAAAAAAAGCGGGGTGTGGGGGGAATGGACAAACTCAGTCCAGTGATTTCAGTGAGCTCATACACAATCCTGTTTACCCTTTAGGAGTTTATAATAAATTGTATCAATAAATCTGGATTCAAGCCACTGCTCTCTGCCATCATCTTAAAAGTCACGGAGGATCATTGTACTTAACAGGGGAGGGCACGATCGTGGGGAATCCCTGTAGCAGCTGCAGCCTCAGCTGGGATAGGAGGTGAGGCAGATGATTGTTAACAGCTGGTGACACCAGAGTCCCTTTTCAGCTGAGTGTCAGGTCTCACCAGAAGGCACATCTACCTGGACTTGAATGGGGGTGTCTCCATGGGCAGTCACAGAAGTCTCTTATCAGGGAGTTCTTGACAACAGGGTAGACAGAAAAAGCCTGTCCCTCTCCACTCCAGTTGTAGCAGGCATCATAGAGACCTTTCCCCAAACTCTATTATACCTTCAGTTAAAGTTACGATGTGATCAAAACTGGGCTGTGGGGAGGGGAATTAGAATATCCAGTATGGTTTCAGCTCTGTTTTTATGGGTCTCATGATATTAATAATGTAAAGTCATTACTATTTCCATTCAACATTTTAAAATAGTCTTAAGAAATAGGTAATAAGAAGAACATATGGCATGTAATACATTTAACCACATTTCTAAAAATTTCTCCTTTTTCCTAATGGTCTAGGGAAAGGCCAAAATTTTTCGTTTCTGATATGCATCGTCAGTGGTATTAAAAGCAAAACTCTTGTGGACATAATTTGCGGGTCCCAGTGAAAAATGAAAACCTGGGGTGTCTTGTTAAAAAATTCCTTAACAATTGCAAGACAATGACAGCAGAGCATTAAAACCAAGGTCAGGGCCCTTCTAAGCACAGTGCCGTATGAGATTGCATAGGTTGCACAACCACAAAGGAGCCTCACTCCTGGAATAGGACCTTGACAAAAAATGGCTGCTGCCCACTCCTTTCTCCTCAGCCTAACAGATGTCTCAGTCAAATCAACCATGGGAGAAGGAATGGGCGGTGTCTTCCTGCAGACACCTACTCAACGTACTGAGGTCCCAAGGGAAATGTATCAACAAAGCGTCCTCTACAAAATACCATTTACTTTCTTATACAGATTGTATTCTCAGGTTTATTAAAAAACGTTCCATCCTCTTTCCTAGAGGGTTCCACAAAGCAAGGATTTCCATTCTGACTTTAGTGAGGGGCCCAGCTTTAACGGGGACCAGAGTACTAATTTTGAATGCAGATAACGGTAGCACAGTCTACTGGCAATTTGATCCTCAATACCATATTTTTTTCGTTTCTTCTACATATTTTTTTCCTTTTTAAATCACTTCCTGTTCAAACTTCTTCCCTCTCATCAGTCATGTACCAGCCCTAGATTTGACCTCAAATTATAAAGGGGCCAGCTTGCCATGAAGGCCTTTTGTCTGGCTTTCTGCATTTTAGGTGATTTGGAAGGCTGGAGAGGCACGTGGAGAGGGAGCCCTTCTTGCCTAAGGACAGTTATGCTTTGTCAGCTCTAGGCTGGTGAAGGAGACAGGAGTAATTATAACAATGGTGGCATTTGCCCATGAAGTGATCTACCATCTCTCAGAAGTGGGCTTCAGCTGAGCTCAGATGTAGATAAACCATCATTCCTTTTAGTACCTGGAGCCTCTACAGTGTTGGTCTTCAGAGATTTAGACACAGAGGCAAGCAAAGGGAAAAAGAATTCTCCCCCCACATACTTTTATCTAGAAATAAATATAAGGTAAATTTGTAAATAACTTACAAAAATACTTAGCAGGAAAAAACTACAGTTAAGGTAAAATTATCTCGTTAAGTCTGAGTTTTTGTGAGCTATAGATTGCTTTGTATATGATCAAACAACACAGAAAGAGCTGTTCCCATGTATAAGCCTATCCTGATTTTTGGTGATTCACAGAAGGGCTATAGAAGATTATACAATTACCTACTCTCAATAAAATAGTATATCCTTTTCTTTTTTCCTCCTGTAGTGAATTTGTAGGGATAAACAACCCTACAAATTGTTTGGCCTATTACATGTCACAGAGATTTTTCTATAGCCTGTCTAGACTCCAGACAATAGGCGAGGCTGGCCTACAGTTGCAGACATTTCTATAGTCTGTAATATCACTTAGAAAAGTAAGGGCAATAATACAAAAATGAAAACCAGCCTGACCTGCCAGTATGATAGTAGAAATACGAGTATAACAGCACTTTACAATTTAGAAATGATGATAGCAACCTAGCAAGAAGTTTCAGCAGCCACATAGCAGCCAAAGCAACTTTTGCAAAATCATTTATACTCCCAAAATATGAGTCATATTCAAGTAATTCTGTCCATAGACTATAAAATCACTTGATCACAGAAAATTCTGTATATATGTTATGCTGTGTTTTTTATTGCATAGAGATAGTGTGTGTATGTATATATGTATATGTGTGTATATATATTACATGTAATATATAATACCACAGATATATGTATATGTATTAAATATATATTTATATATATAATATTTATGGTCAACATACAGACTTTTCAAAAGACCTTTCTTTAAATAAACTAGGTTGTTAAACCATTCTGCTTTTCAGCCCTCTTGGATAAAACAATTAATGTTGCATATAATCTTAAGAGACTTAAGGGACATTATGTATGAGCAAGGGAGGTGGAGAAAACAGTGTTTAAGTTTCACCTATTTTCTGCTATTTCATCTCTGAGCATGTCTCCACATCTATTCTCTCCTACAATTACACTTGTTATAAACAAAGGAAAGAAAGAGACAAAAAAGGAGACCTTGTTTGTTTCTTTATATTCTCCTTCTTTGCTAGCTTTTTCATTTTTTAGTAAATGAACCAATGAAGAGCACTTGTTTTTGTTGTTGGTTAGTTTAATTTTGATGAAGACCATAAAAAAGATGCATTGACTATAAAGAATACTCCTTGAAGGAAATAGTGCTGTAAAACTATAGGCAATATTTTCGATTCAGAGGATAGTCTCTTTCCCATAGACTCCAAACTGCGTCAATAATCACCAGACCATTTGCATCTTCCACACTGGGGATAAATATTAACTGAGCCTTTGTTGCTGTTGGAATGACTCAGCTTGTGGCATCAGGAATAGTTAAGGGGGTGTCTAATGATATAGATAACATGCAGTAAAACCGAGAGTTTCTTCTAGTTGTTTCACATAGAGTTGTACATCCCAAAATAGAAAACTCCTATCTGTCAAATAATTCCATTCCTGTCCCTGGTTGAATTAAAAAACAACAACAAAAAAACCACCATCCAGTTTGTTTCAATACAATCAACTCTACCATACAGCAGTATACACTATATCATCAAAAGTTTCATTGTAGAACAAACCATCTAGGATTGCCACATTTATAGAATGCTGATTGATGAAACCATAAAGAGCCCTTCTCAGTGTGATCAGCTAAGCCCATTCACCAGGCACTCACAGAGCACTTCCTAGGTCTAGGACATTATGCATACAAATGCGGTATATTTTCCCTCTGGAATGCAAATGTTATTCATATTACGCTAAAATAGCATTACACAACACTCTTACTTTGTTTTGCTAGAAAGTTCAATATTTTCTGTGTGTCAGGAAAAAGTTCTTTAACCTCATCAGAAATGAAGGTTTTTGTCATCACTTTCTCATATAGTAAAAATAAGCAGATATGCCTCAGTACAATTGATTGATAATGTAATATTAAATAAAGGTAGTATAACAATTCAAGGAGATTTTACTGAAATAAAACATGTAGTTTTTTTCCTTTGATATGTGCCATAATATTCAGGAATACTTTACATGTCATGTATCTGGTGTATACCAGATACACCAGAGGTATATATATTTCATATAAAAACTTTGAATAGCGTAAAAATGGTACACATTCTGATTCACCTCAGCCTTTTTAACTGGCTACATTTTACTTAAAGAGGAATAGTATACATTTTAATAGAACATATCAACTAAAAGTTGACTTTTCAAAATAAACGACCAATTCCAAATTCAACATCAGCATGACGAATTTGGCAAACTTTGCGTTCTCGTGCAATTGGTGGGAACTTCCATGCTTCACCACAGGATAACTGGGAATTCTACGGCACTCTGAAGGGAGGCTGAGTCATTAACTGCAGTGTCCAGTGCGTGGAGACAGAAGACCAAGTTAGGTCCTAAGAAGTCTGGCCAAACTCCCGCTGAAGTCAATGGAAATTTGCAAACGCACTCAAGAGGGCTCCTGTCTGACAAAGTCTGGTCAATCATTTCCCTAGATCTTTAAACTAGATATACCAAAACAAACAAACAAACAAACAAAACCCTGCTAAAACCCACAAACCAAAACACATGTACCTCTCCAACGTCGTAGACCCAAATACGGCCTTCTGAGTCCCCAACAGCAACTTCTTTGCCAGCTTGGGCCCAACGAACACGGTTTAGGGCAGACGCCCCCTCGATGGCCACACTTGCTGTTGGAACCTGCCAAAGAGGTTACGAAAGAATCTCTGAATATGAATTTAAATATATGTTTCACTGGATGAGTCACCACTGCCTTCATGTGCATGAAGTAATATACATCCTTACGCAGAAGTAAAAGGACTCATTGTTCTTAAATCATATGCTCCACTGTTCCAAGGGGTAGAGAGGAGACGCTTTAATGAAAAAGGAAAAGAGGGAGAGTCTTTTTCCACAATCAATGGGCAGTGAGTGACAGAAATGTTTCTTTGGATTGCGCAGGGGGTATATCCGACATACAAACACACACAGCGGCTAAATGTGATACTTCACGATCAAGTCATGATTTATGGATCGATGGAGAGGCAGATTTCAGGATTTACCAAGGTTGAGGATACTATAAAGGCAGAAAGCTGGGGGTGGGGGGCATACGGTGGGATAAAAGGCATATTAATATGAGTCTTCAGGAAAAAAAATACGTATTGATTCCTCAAAACCTCATTGGGGAGGAGATGATCAGAAGAAGAAAAAGTATGCAGGTGAAAACCTTCAAAACCTCAAGTTCGCCTCTCTTTTTTCTTTTCTTTTTTTTTTTTTTTAATCCTTTCTGCTTTTTTCCTCCTCCTGGCAGTACCAGGGTGTAGGAAGCGCTCCATACCTTTGGGAATGTTCCCAGCATAATAGAATGGAGCAGCTACTTATAGAAAAGGTCTTATATCTCCTTTAAGAAGCACCTGAAATCTGACAACTTTAATAATTACAATAATAATTAATATTAAAGTGAACTGGAGGTGCTGAACTGGAAACTGCAGTATTTGGTACAAGAATCTTAGTATTTGAAAAACAGAATTTTAGTGGGTCTGCCGCTCTTCCATCATCAGTTGTGTAAACTCTTCTCTTTAAAGTTGGACGTTTATAAATCATATAAAGATCAGATCTCCAAGCCTTCTACAAGAATGTTGAATAAGAAATGACAACAAGCCATTAAAAAAGAAAAAAGGTAAATGTTAAAACACAAAGAAAAAAATGTAGTGAAAAGAGGGCCACCGAGATCATCCCACACCCCCGTTTAAGACCTGTGTCTAATAAACATGTCAGGTTAAGAGGGAAACACAACATGTACTGTGCCTCAGCACTCCCGGCATTCTGTTAGTTTGGGAATTGAAACCATCTGTTTATATGAGATTATTGACCCAATACCTATCTTTAGAATAGCAATAAAAACTCCATCGTATGTAAGAATCTATGTTTAAACTTAATCTTGAAATCAATAAAAATTCTTTTACCTACTTAAATCATGGTATGTCAATTGTGAGCAAAAATATAAACCAAAAGTCCCCAGCTCATTTATTTATTTTTTAAAATACAGATTTCTACAATAAAAGGACCTGCTGTGCAGGCTGGAGCTTGAATTTTTAACCGAACGTTCCAAAGGCCAAAAACAATGTGAATTTAGATGGGCTGTAATTCTGTCAATACACTTTATTATTAATGTGCTACACAGAAAACAAATCTGACATTCAGCTATAGAATTTTTCAGAGTTAATTTTTAACTCCATAATTTAGAGAAATCATACAGGATTATACTTTATCTAACTCCAATATCAGATTTTATCTATGAACAATTTCAAAACTTCAATAAGAATGTTTAATCTTAACAGGAATATGATAAAACATTAATCACTCTGAAGAAATTGACTTTTTAATACATTTTCAATCATGCCTAACACATTTTAAAGACTTTCACTTATTTGGAATTAAGCAATGTAGCAAAGTGAAACAATGAATAGTCTAACTACTTAAAAATTCTTGCTTTTCATAGATATTACAAGTGGTAAAAATGACTATCACAGCCTATCAAATGCATGAAGAAAATGACAAAATATATTTTATTAGCTTGATTGGTAAAGACCTTTCAAAAGTTGATGAATCTGTAATGAAAATAATCCATGTATTGTCTCTGTCACTCTTACTCTTCCACTTTGGTTTCACAAATACTTCACATTTTTTTAAGGCTTATTTTAATTGCAAAGACAGGATCTATACAGCACAAATTACTACATTGTGCAGGGGTCCACGATACTGAGGTAGGTGAATATAAACTATCTTTTCATAGGAGCAGTTGGGATAAGTTAGTCTAAAAGCACAGTAGTTTGAACAACATCAAAACACTGGGATTTTAGGTTTTTTTTTTTTTTTTAAAAACAAATCTAATTCCTAATTTGACAAATATTTGAAAAATCTCGTTCATCTTGGGAGATGGCAAAAATGATTTGACAGTTTTCAAAAGTGTTCAGCTCATTACTGGATTTGAATCAGACTTAATATATTGACTATTACTGCGAAAGCAGAATTATGTTTACCACAAAACTAAATGGTTCGCATGCCCAGTAATGATTTTTTGAAATGTTTGGCTATAAAAGTTTTATGTGATTGTCTGTTGATACCTAGAGAAAGAGAAGGGAAAAAATTACATTTGGCAATGTTGAGACATTAGTTTCATTTTACCTAAAAAGCAGATTAAAAAAAAAGTTACATAGGAATTATTAAGTAGTTTAGAGAACACTCACTCTATTGCATTGCAGTTGGCTATTACCTACTGTCACCCCTACTAAATCTGATTTCTGATATAAGGCGTCTCCTAAGTCAATAAGGAAAACGTGTGTTTTTGGGTTGCTTTAAGTGAATGAGTTTATTCTAGCAGATAAAGGCAATATGATTTTAATCAGCGGTGATGAAAGACTTTGGGAAACTATTACAATGTGGAGTAATAACATCTTTCTATTAAAAGTAATAATGTTATAAACATTTCAACATCCAAAAAGATGGGCATTGCCTGTATTCATGCCTTTTGATTACTTTCAAAGATGCTTTATTATATAACTCTTACCCTTGTTCTTAAAGGAAATATAGACTTAAATTGAAATATTTTTTAAAAGGTAACTATTTGGCATTGGTTATAGGTGCATATAATCTTGCAAGATAAAGTGACTCAAGAATAACACCTGAAGAATATTTCCCAGCCCCCTCCCACAAAAAAATACTGGGGAGTCTGCTCCTCCTCATATCCTCCAGCTGTAGGCTTCCTAATTAAAAAGGCTGAGCTGTTTCCTGCTCAAAACACTTCAAAAGAGCTTTCTCTTGTTCTCCACTTGACATGTAGTTTTTGCAGTACTTCTTCCTCTTACCTGTTCATTCTTATTTATGGAGAGTTGCCCTGAATCAGAAACCAGGAAATGAAGAGACTATTTTATTTTATTAAATTGAAGGACATTTAATATTCATATAAAAAAACCCCACAAAAACCCCAGTAGCTGAATTAGCACCTCAAGAATTTTGAGAGTTGAGACAAGGAAAAATGCTTATGGCACAATTTTTAAAACATAAATATATATAGTCTAATTTTTAAAAAGAATATGTTCTTAGTGTCAATTTTTTTTTAAATGGCTATTTCTCACTTGTGAAGTACTCTACATGTGACATGTTAAAATCCCAATTAAAAAATACTGAGTTTAACATACAGGTTCAGAATTAGAAACTATTGTAAAAGTCTGCCTGTGAGTCCAATATCTTAGACAAGGATTATTTACCTTGTAAAAATCAAATGGAGGCTAGATCTAAACATAAACAATCAACAGAATCATCTTTTATGGATTCAAAATAGGAGTCGTACAAATAGCAAACACTGACAAATGACCGTTTCTAAAAACCCAATCTAAAGTCAGCGTCCATAAAAGCTTACTTTTCCAAATGTTTGGCAATAGAGTTATTTCAACACGGCTCTGAAATATGCCTGTGTGTTCTTTCCCTTAGGGAAAAGCATGAACACATATCGTTTTGCTCTTTGCAAATAAGGGTCGTCAATTGTCCAGGATCTGCCACGGTTTAGGGATGAAGTGAGATTAAATGATTTTTTTTGGCCAATGCATCTGCCAATTCCCTTCAGAGCAGTCATGAATGGGGGGTCGGCAGCCCAGCTGCAATTGGAGGGTCTGTCCAAAAAAAGGCCGTTTTGGGGAGAGAGAGGGGGGTGAGATGGAGAGAGGCCGACTGCGCCCCCCTCCCAGCCCTCCCGGGCCCAGGCGCCTGCGCCGCCGCTCACCTCGGTGTCATTGTTGAGGTTCCAGAGGTCCAAGCGCCCCATCCCGTCCACGCAGGCAAAGAGCGCGGGATGCACGGGGGACCACATGACATCGTACACATAGTCTGCATTGTCTTCAAAGGAGTAGAGCGGCTTGTTGTGCTGTAAAGCAGAGAGACCGTGAAGACTTTGTGGCGCTGCTGCTGCCTCGGGCTGTCTAGCGAGCCTAATTAAAAACTTTGCACATTCACAAAGTGTCATAAAACTTCCCGAGATGAAAGTCCTCGAGTAGGTGAACCGCAGCTTTAATGTGACTAGAACTGTCCAGTGGCATAAATAAATACCGTGGTGGGGGGTGCTCTTAAGGTGTTGGGGGCTGGGACGGATGGGGGGGGGCGGTTTCAGACACAGTCGTCCTAGACATTCCAGACAGGTGGACAGGACTGCCCATTAGCCCAGAATCCTTGCTACGCTTTGCGAGTCGCTCAGAGCCCGAACCCAATCGTGGTCCTTCTGCTGGGATCAGACCCGCGGGGATGCTCGGCAAGCCCTGGCGGTTCCGGCGGCCCCGAACCCTTTGCATGGAAGGCAACGCCTGCCACCTCGTGGTCACTGTCTGTAGCTGCAACTCTGCTTCCAGTCCAACTCTAGACCAAATTCATACTTGAATGGTTCCTTTGAGGCGGGGAATGGGAAACACGTATTTTAAAGGGATTTGTAGCTCTTCTGGGAGGTGAAAAATGTCATGGTTCCAAGATCATAGTCTCCCTACCTAGTGTCAGTTCACTCAAGTCAGGAGGACTGGTGTGGCTCAATGTATCACCCCGAACCTTCATAGAAGATGAACCACATTTTTCTAGATCACCCGGTATTTCCAAGAGCCCGAAAATTGTTTTTTTTTTTAACAGGGGGGTGGGGTGGTGGAGGTGGGGAGGGGGGGGGAGAATGCATTAGCACACCCCCGCTGCATACAAATGCTTCCACTCCGGAGGGATACAATAAATTAAAATGGCACTCTTGATTTCCAGTGAATATTGTCACATCAAAATAGCACAGAAGTCAGAGGCAAGTTTGAAAGTACACCAGAAATAAAACGTAATTGGACTTCATGAATTATTCATTCCATCTGGCTTGTCTTATTCTAATTTATGAATAATGGCTTTACTAATCCCTGATCAATTAATGTAAAATGAAATTTAAATGATAATGAAAGCCCTAGAGATAAAAGAAATTAAGTATTCTTATATCCTCTGACAGAAATCTAAACAATGGGATTTTTTTTTTCCAGTGCCTTCTTCATCCAGTCAGCTGTCTGTACTCTCTTCATGGGCTCCACTGAATACCTATACAGACCAGGATAGTAAGAGCAAAAATAAATAAATAAAACACAATATGAACGATCTGCCTGGAATGTTCGAAGACTGTATCTGTAGGGAATCAGCTCCAAATATTACACTCAACTCCCGAAGTGTACTGTTAGTGAATGCAAAATGTACAAAACGCGGGCGCTGAAATCAAAGTGACAAAAATCTGTAAGAAGACAATAAAACTCTCATGACCTAAACTTAATGCAAAAATTTGTTAAGGTGCTAACTATAAATGATTTCTCTTTCCATGAATTATATCACTTTGGTATTGCTTAGAAGTAAACACAATTGTAATACTATTAAAGCAACACAGGAGGTTTTGTGTGTGTGTGTGTGTGTGTGTGTGTTGGTAGTGTATGTGTGAGACGTCTTATTTTATATTCAAAAAGTATATAATGGAGGAGTAATTTGAAAAAAAATATGTACAACATTGAGATCTCAAAAAGAAGTAAAAAGACATTAGCCTTATAGTTTTGTATTTTAACATTCTATAACTCTTTTATGCCAAAATGTTTGTTATATACCATGTTTGCACTGTGATTTGGACCTAAATTATTAGACTATTTTCTATTTTTGTAGCTTCCTCCTTCCTCTCACTGTTTGGACTAAGTGACTCAAACTACTTTCTCCAGAAAAATCTGAATATTCAATGATACCTTAAAGTAGCACGATTGTATCATTTTTCTTTATTAATGTAGGAAAAAAAGGAGTAGCTGGTCCTTCACTGACCGCTTGTGAATATTAAATTCTAACTCTTAAAGTCAAAGAGTGGAAAAGACCTACACATGCTTAAAAAAAGTCGATTCTCAGTATTCTCTCTCAATAACCCAGCTATGGTAGTATAACTGATTATGTAGAGGTCAGACATAGATACAAACATACAGACATACAACAAACGCACAACACATCTACAGTCCTTGTTTTGATCAATTAGAAAGAAGACCATCCAGCTTTAAATAGTCACTTTCTACGGAGCTGATATTATTTGATATGTTAATTTGCTCAATAAATTATCCTGTTATTCTCTAGTGCTGTTTCCTTTCTTTTCTTTTAGTAGCTTCTTCTCTGAGAAACTTAGTTAAAATGATAGTAGCTCCTGGAGACCTCACTTTTTAAGCATCTAGAAATAACTGCTATTGTTCATGTTACCAAAAACTAACATTCTCACGTTTAAGATTATTGTATTGAAATGTTATTATTATTCGCCAGGTTTTCTCCAATTTCCTAATCACCCCTCACCCCTAAGACTGAACCTTTCATTATAAAAATCACTGTGCAAGTAATTCTAGGCTACTGTATGTGCCTGTTTTGGGGGAAGGAGAAGGAAGGGCTTATATTTTCAAAGGCTTTGTTTTCACCTTTATAAATTCACAGGCTGGGAAAGTCTTGGTCAGGACTGAGTCCATTATCACGGTACTAAGTGGACTGACATCTATGAACCGCTACTTTCCAAATATATAATAGCATGGCATATGCTACAGGCATAGGCTAATACTACACTTACAATAGTAAGCAGTGCTATTTTGAATATTAACTGTACTTCTTTTAATAAAGGAAGTTTTCATTCTAGGGCCCAAAGGGTAATCTAAAAACCCAATGAAAAATTTGTCTCGAATGCTTACTATAAAACATTTTATAGTAAACCCATATCATGAGGTATTAACATTTTCATAAAATATATCAAAAGCATCAGAGTCCATAGATTTCATTTTTGAATTCTGAAACATACCTATCTGGATCCACAGAGTTGTCATAACTTGCTCCTGCATTATCCCCGGTTTTAGAATACTACAAGTTTTCAAAAGGTGGAGACCGTGGGGGCACATTTGGCCAACGGTTTTAAGGAAGATCCTCACATGTCATATCAATTGTATATATTAAAGCTGCAAAAGCTTGGTGATTTTAAATATTTACTCCGCAAAATACTCAAGACCACTCAGTAAACTAAACATTGTTCTACAGCATGTTACTATAGAAAGCGTTTTTCAAAACCATCAAATTTCATTAGAGAAAAACCCCTTCGACCTGTGTTTTCTTTTCTAATGCCATGTTTAGTATTAGTGAACTGTTAAAGAAAACAAAAACTGCACTGTTACGCAGCCTACTGCACATGTGACACGTGCCAATAAAATAAAGCTGCGATACCCTCTGTGTTTCAGGCAAGTTCCCAGGGCTGTGCCAAAAATGCTAAAATATCCAGACACGGAGCAGCTTGATTTTAATTCCCTGACTCTCGAACGGAACGGAGAAGCAGGCTACCAGTCACTTCCCAGACAGACATGAAGGGCAGGGGAGGGCAAATTGTGGGGTGTTTGCTGGGTGCCTGACTCTATACACACATTGTCTAATTTAATCCACATAAAATCTCTGTAAGGTAGATGGTATTTACAGAAAAGAAAATTATAGTGCAGGAAAGTTAGTAACTTTCCCAAGGCCACGAAGGTTGTAAGTGGTAGAGTTGGACTTGGCTCTCTGGTTGTCTTAGCTGTTCAGCACATCCTCTATTTGCTGGAGCCATGTGATCCTGTATAAAACAGCAATGGTCTTCAGTCTTCACAGAAAAAAACAACACGTCTGTACCTCTTTGCTGTTCCATTCAACACAACCACTGTTTACTAAACGCACACGGTGTAACTGGTAGAAAGAGTTCACAAAGATCACAATTACAATGTTTATTTCATTTCCTGAATCAGTGATTCATAATCCTGAAGATGTTAACCATAGAACTCCAGGCATCTTTAGCACCTTGTGACGGGAACAGGTATCTTTTTCTCCTGAAAACCAGGAAATAGGATGGGGATGGCCCTTGAGCCAACAGAGAGTAACAGCGCGCCATGCATTAGAGAGTAGAATAAAATGATGCTGGAAGGCAAAGAGCAGGGTTCAAGTTCACTAAATGTCTCTACAACTTTGGGGACTAAAATGAAATTATCCGAAAGATAGGGATGAAACAGGGACCATGGAGCAGAAATGACAATAGGAGAAAGTGGAAATTTCCAGACCTTGGGAAATTTAACTTAACATCCATGGATCTTAGCTTTTCATCTGTAAGATGGAAGGCTGGAGCAACAGACCTCTATGGTTCCTACTGGTTTTGTGATTCTATGACCCTGTTTTGCGGTAAGGACTGAATAGTATCAAGTATGAGAAAGTTTTTTTTTGTTGTTGTTGTTTTTCACAAAGAGTTATTCCAAGCTAAGTATTATAATTAAAGCCATCTTCCTTGACGTTCTGTGGAATTCATATCACTATGATTTTTTTTACTTTGTATTTCATCAAAATATATATATAAAAATGTACCAGAGAGGTTTTTAGCAAAAATTTTGAAATTATGAAAGTAATAGACCTCCTATTTGACCAACTAGAGAAGGAATAAAGAACATTAAGTTTACATAAGAGACTCAGGTAATGAACTCTGTTCAAAAATGAGACTACAACATCCATCAACATTTTAGAATAAAGACTTGATCTCTAGATTTGAGTTTTGATTTTATAAGTTTACTTCTGACAATGATTAGAGCTGCATATTTTTCCAATCGGTTAACTATAAAATGATTTCATGAGAGATGAGTTTCTACTTCTGATGTCAGAAATGTGCTGAAGTCACATCTAGGGAATATAAGGTTTGTTTCAGTTTCCTCTATATTATTTGTTTTCCTCTTATCAGGCACCTCTAAGCATCTCAATAGGCTTCACTATTTTGAAGGTTGGTGAATAGAAAGGCTTGTGTTAGAATGTCTCCTTAACACCTCCAAACACTGTGGTTGAGATTGCGTTTGCCTCTAAACGATTAGC